CACCGTGCAGGCGTCTCGCTCATACACGCACACCCACCCACACACATACACACACAAACACGCATTGCTCATCGCGTATACAGTTAGCAAGAGAGTTCTGATTAATTAGAACGTTTTTTTTTTTTACCTAGTTTTAAATGCATAAATTTAATGTAACCATAATGAAATAATTTTACTTATACAAAATCAAAAGTAAATTTTATTTAATTTTTAATTTAAATTATGTAATTTTATTTAAAGACCAATTGCGCAGTAATTTTCAAATGAAAGCCAATTTTTCTTGAAAAGCGTGAACAACAAAAGAAAATATTCTATGCCACACAAATTGTACTTCATTTATGTGTTCCTAGATTAGCACCTGGGCGCGATAGTGCTTCTGCAGCTTATTGGCTTTGGTGCCTAGCTGCATCTGCCACTTGGACTGCACGCGCTTCATTAGATGAATGTCGCGTGCCTTACGCGCCGCTGCCTGCTGCTGCGTATGCGTCCAACCCAGTGCTCGATATTCGCTCAGCACACGATGTAGCTTACGATCCGATTTCTTGAGCGCCACTGCACGAGTAGGATGCAGGCGCTGCTTGTAGTAACGCAGCAACGACCGATGGCCGATAACGGCACCAGAGGGCAAAACCAATTGATATTCATCGCCGTCGAGCAGATCGGGCACAACCTCTTCATCAATGTCCATACCCTCTTTCTGCAAGAGAAATGAAAATCCAATTAGAAGAATAGCCACAGTTTCAAATACAATAGCAGAGCCGTTTTTTTATCGATAGTGTTGAACTGAGCGTACGATATCAATTTGGTTCGATACTTACATGATCTGGATAACTGGCGCTGTAGTCATAATATTCGGCATATTCGGCCAAAGCGACGCCTTCATGCAGCATCTGGCAGTGCCCCTTGTCGATCATGTGTTTTCGAACAGCATCCAAGGAATAGAAGGTTTTACCACGATCGTTGCACCACAGGCAAATGAAGTAGTTGGCCACCTTCTCGCCCAGATAGTAAAGCAGGCCCTCGATGTCCGTGCAGTATTCGGTGTCGGGAATGAAGAACGAATGTGCGAGCGACATGTGCTTGAGGTTCTCCACCAGATCCTTGCTCTGGTGGTTACAGAAGAGGCAGTCGCGCTCGGTCAGTGGATTCTCGGCTATTTTATCCCACTCATCCGAATCAACCTAAAAATTTCAACTGGAGTTTAATGGCATCTAATTTAACTCATAGCTGACACTCACCTCCTCCTCTTCAATGTCTTCAAAGTCGTCGTCGTCGTCCTCTTCCGCATCCACCTGCATTGCCCGTTCCGCGAATGCAAGGCGTCCTTTGCCTGCGGCAGCTGCTGCCAACGCCGGATGCGGACGCGGCTCCACAATGCTCTTGACACACACATCTGATACGCTGTCCGAGTTGGCCTGCTGCCGCTCTAATCGCACCAGCGCCTCCTTGTGTTTCTTGCTGTTGAGATGATTGTCGTGGGCCTTCTGATTGCCAAACTGTTTGCGACAGGCGGTGCAATAGATGCTCATCTGCTGCTCCTCGATGGCAGACTCTGTCGCGCTCCGAGCACTTAGCACACGCTGCTGGAACTCCTCCGCAGTGACTGGCGGCAATTGCGCCACGCGCCTCTTCAGATTGTAACGGTGCCAATCCGTTTTGTAGTGTTCCCTCTGTATGTCTGCGTTGGCAAAGCGCGCATCGCAGTTGATACATGTGAAATGTGACATGGTTGCGTTCGTTTTTTTACTTTTTAAGTTTTTTGTATTTTTGTTTATAGGTTGACCGATTTGATTTTGGAATTTCGCAATGAATTAATGATTGAGAAAACAACAAAAAAGTCAACACGTTCTTTAGTTAACGATAGACGATAAACGATAGGCGATAGTATACGTGTGGCGGCTAACGATTCACCCTGTACCACACGCGAGCTAAAGCTGTGTGCTATGATACTCCATGAATTTCTGGCTAGTATTGTCTAATATAACATATTAATAATTATTAACTATTTGTGAGTAATCTATTATTGTTTATAAGTTGCATTACTTGAAGCATTGGCCAGATATTAATAGGTACAATACTAGATGTATGTGTGCTTTCGATCCCTTTCATACAGTGGAAACGTGGCATATTGAATTTGCATTTTGTCAAAATAACATCAGATTGTAATGGAGCCTTCAATAATCAATAATATTAAATAATGGGCATTAAGGTAAAACTTAAAAAAAAAACACACACACACACACATTTAAAGCCGTGACTATAAATTTGTATATATCGCTAACTGGATCGATATGCGATAACATAACGCTGGAATTGAGAACGGTGCATTTGGTCATGCGCACAGTTGCAATGCGATTCGATAAGAGTGGGCACCATGCAAGCCTTGAAATATTTGCACCGGCTGCCGCAGCCGATTTACCAGCCCTTCAAAAGACATAATGCAGTAAGTATACCGCGCTAGCTATAGCCAAAGAAGCCAAACTAATGAAACAAAAAAACCTTCAATTGCTTCAGACGTTCGCGGGCAAGCAGCACAAGTAGCGGACGTGCGACGCAAATACAGCAACCAACTACCCAGCCGTTGGAGGCGCCAAAGATAATTGTTATACATCCGGGGTCGCAGCATTTGCGCATTGGACGCGCTGCCGACCTCAATCCGCTGACCATTCTGCATGCGGTAGCCTACAGACGAGTACCTCAGGACGGAGTTGCCCCGTATCATGATCCATTGTTGCCGCCGCTGGACAGCCTCAACCCCACCCGGCTTCAGGCGGAGTTCGAGGAGCAGCGGCTGGCCGTCTCCCGTTTGCTGCAGAACTGCGTGGTCGATGAGGCAAATCGTTTGCGTGTCGCCACGCCGCCCCAGCAGCTGGCGCACTTCAATCGTAGCAGCGTCGCGGAACCAGTACCGCCTCCTGTGCCGCCCGAGCAGCATGCGAATTGGCACAGCGAAGCGCCACTACTCTTCGATGAACAAATCCTCCGCCTGAACGCCAGCGATGCCGAAAATTACGACATTCACTTCCCCATCCAGCGCGGCGAGCTGAACGTGCATGGCGGAAAGGGCGGCTCCCTGCAGGCTACGTTGTCCCACCTGGAGCACATCTGGTCGTACGCGCTGGAGCAATGCCTGGGAATATCACTGCGAGACCTGTGCACGCACAGCGCCGTGCTCGTCGTCAACGACGTCTATGTGCGAAGGCATCTGCGCGAAGCAATGACGCTGCTGCTGCAGCGGATGGGCTTTCAGCGGTGCTTCCTCGTTCAGGACAGCGTAGCGGCCACCTATGGTGCGGGCATTGGCTACGGCTGTGTGGTGGACATTGGCGCCCAAAAGACCTCCATTGCCTGCATCGAGGATGGCATCTCCCAGCTTGACGCACGCGTCCGCCTCAACTATGGCGGTGGCGACATCGACCAGGTGCTGCTCATGCTGTTGCGCAAGTGTGGATTCCCCTATCGCGAGTGCTGCGTGGAGGAAAGCTACGTGGACGCCCAACTGCTGGACGAGCTGAAGGAGCGATTCTGTCATCTAAATGCCAACGTCTGCGGGGCACAGGAGAAGCACTTCACGCTGCGCCAGCCGCACGGCCAGTGGGTGCGCTACACCATCCAAGTGGGCGACGAGGCAATCATGGCGCCTCTGGCGCTCTTCCACACTGAGCTGCTGAACATAACGGGCAAGACGCGGGCTGTGCATACCCAGCAATCGGCGCAGGAGCAGTACGACTGCGAGGATTGCTGCGACGCCGAGTACCTGCGCGAGACGGGACGACGCAACGGCGTGCGTGCCGGAGACATGAGCATCATGGGCAACTCTTCCGTGCCCGTACTCAACTCGGCCAAGCCGCCACAGCCGCCAATCACTGCCGACGACGAGGAGTTGATTGTGGTCGACCAGGACGAGACGACGGTCAGCAGCAATAGTAATTCGCAGCAGCAGCAGCAGCAGTCGCTCCAGCAGCAGCATCCCAAGTCGAGCAACTCCTGGTACTTCAATGCAGGCGGCCAGATAGTGTCACTCGACCAGGCGGTGATCCGCTCGATTGGTCGCTGTGGCAGCTATGAGACACGTCGCAAGATGTTCGGCGCCATTCTGCTGGTGGGCAGCAGCGCCAAGATGCGCGGACTGGCCGCCTGGCTGGAGCAGCGCATCAGCCAGCAGGTACCGCCCGGCCTCGAGGTCAACGTGTTCAGCAAGGGCATGGACGTGGGCATGGTCGCGTGGAAGGGTGCCGCCATCATGTCGGTGCTGGAGAGCGCACGCGAGCTATGGATCACCCAGACGGAATGGCAACGCTACGGCCTGCGCATCCTGCGCGAAAGGTCGCCCTTTCTCTGGTAGAGTTACGAATCGAGAAGCAATCAACCGTGTTTTTTATATCAAACGTGTATAGTTCAAAGTATGTATTTATGCATTTAACAAATTTTACGAGTTTTTTAAGCGCCCATTGCTTCGAGCCATGCTTCGAAAATTGTAAACAAAGCTCAGAAACAATTCCAGCACGAGCTTTTTATCCACTTGGCAATTGGCTTGATTGGCAAGTATGAATGAGACCCAGTGTCTGATTGGAGTACTTGCATAGCAGATTCATAATGTAGCTATTAACAAATTGATTATTTTCTATATCGAATATGTATAGTTAATTAAAATTAAATATTTATAAACCACTAAAAAAAACGTGTCAAGTTGATAACTTCATTTGTTGCATGGCAAACCAAATGGGGAGTCATTCCTCTCATTCCACTCAATAGTAAATTGAACTTGCCCATGGCAGTTCCAGCAAATAAAATATAACGATAACGATAAGCGGCTGCACTGAAGGTATCAAAGGACATCGCTTTAGCAAGATGAATGAATGTTATCGATTTCTTAGGCGCAGCTTACAGCACTGAACGGCAGTTGGAATAAAAATAAGCAAATAAACGTGTTTTTTTTTTTTTTTTTTTTTTTTTTTTTAAGAAAAAACACATCTATATAATTATGAAATATACCCGCTTATTAAGGGCACACTTGTTAACATTTTAGCAAAAAATAACAAAAGTAAAAAAAGACAACAAAAATAACTACTATTGAAACTATGCCAAATACTTTGGCGCACTGGAGCCCATGTAGTGATAAAGATCACCTAATGTGGATCGGACTAGTTTTGCTTTTATGGTTTTCCGATTAAGTCGCTTGTGGGCCTCGAAGCGATGGCAGCCGCCAAAGCTGAAGTAATAGTTGCCGCCTTCGCTACCTGTAATCCACAAGATGTCAACCGGTGGCACATTATCCGCGTCGGTTTCCGCCTACAAAAGATTAATTTTTTAGTGCTTTCTTCTTCTTCTTCTACTGCTGCTGTATGTTACGCACATCGATGGTGGCCATGAGTGATTGAACTTTCATCTCGTCCAGGACCGAGGGTATCGGCCGTTTGATGACGCTCATGGGTACATTGTGCACCTCCTCGATGCCCGCCGAGTGCACGGAATTATCCAAGTTAGCCATATGTTTACCGTTGCCCGAATGGGTTGAAGACTTGATAACTACTATTGGCAGCACGGCCAATGTTGTGAAATACATGCAATTGCAATTAACGAACTACTGTTACTGCTGCCGGCGTTGCCACCCACCGCAATTAGCTTACCCTGTTGCCGTTGTGGAGTCGCCCACAATTTGTGTCCACTGGGAGGCGCTGCGATGCGTCCACTCGCCTGCAGTGCGAATTGCTTAATGAAGTTCATGCAGGCGCCAATTGCAATCAACAAATTGGACGCAATATTCGCTGCTGGAGCGTTTAAAGTTGTTTTGTTTTATTTTGTATTTTATTTTTTCTTTGTACATACATATGTGTGTTTGTGGTTTGTCACACTTTTCTTTCAATTTTTTCCTGCGATTTTACTTTATTTTCTGCATAATCAAGAATCTTCTTGGCCCGCTGCCCCAAGTGCAAGCACTCGTAAACAAAGGCAAACGTAAATGCGACTTGATAAAAGTAAATGAAATCGAATTTTTAATTCAGTACAATGTTCTTGGGACTGGGAGTGTTTGCATTGCATACCACCACATATGTATGTATGTATGAACGTACATATACAGAGATATGTACATATGCAAGTGTGTATGTGTGTGCTGACGAGCGCGTCAGGCATTTTGATTATCATCCGTAAACTGAGCATTTGCAATCTCTGGCATACAAATAAACGTTGTTTTTACCAAACGGCTGCCAATCAATAGATAAAGATGAATATATAAACAATGCTTGCTTGGAGGTGGGTCCTCACTTATCAATATCTGCATACAAATATCAATAGTTTCTGCTCACAATTATTCAAAATAATAATAAGCTTTGCTTACAACACTGGTCAGCACGTTGATTGTTCGTTGTGCAGCATTGCGCGCAGAGCTCAAATTTAAATTTGAATTCAAATGAAATGATCTAGAACATGGCATGCAAATTATCCAAGGCCATACTGCGAATTTCGCACAATAAATGGGCCAAGGAAACAAATAGAGCTGCACATACTATATACACACGAATACAAGAATATTTAATGTGTTTTACCCGTGACATTGAAACGGCTGTTAGGGGTGCGCTTAGTCATGTAGACAGCCCAGAGCCAAGACAGCGAAATTAGAATTTTGTCTGCACTCTATCGAATCTCTATCTGTATCAGCTGACAATGTGAACGATCTTCAATTAAGCATTACGAGTTGTACGACAAGGCTGCGACAAGCGAATTCTAAGTAATTTCATGAATATCGCACAATGTTGATTTTGCTACCTCTTACAAAAGGTAACTGATGGCGGAAATGAATCAACAGTTATGTTTTGGCATTTGCTGCTATTGTCGCAGGATATTTTCAGTAACACAGCGCTATAAATATTTTTCCTTTTTTTTTTATTTTTTGTTTCTTCACACATTATGCAAATTAGCTTAGTTAAGACGATTGTGTTGATAAGTAGCCTGATTATCGTGCAAATCGATGGCATTCAAGGTGATTGAGGATATTTTCAAATTGAATGTCGATCGATTACTATCGACTTTTTATTTGCAGATGCCGATGGCAAGCGTATTGTCAGCAACTATGAGCGCATCAAGCAGCTCTATCCACAGCTCTCGTCTGGCGAATCATCACAATGGCGTTACGCAGACAAGGATCAGAAGCATCCGTGCAAGCGCGAATGCGTCGAGCAACAGCCCATGACCTGCTACTACTATATGGTGGTGCACTATGATGACACGATGGCCGATTCATGCAAGCGCTATCTCCAATCCAAGTACCGCTTCAAGCTGAATGGCAAGGACTATATCGATAGCTTTAAGCTGGCGGAGCTGGAGCACAACGATGATTGCAAATACGCCGACGGCCTCGAATCCCAGATCATGGTGGTCAATGGCAAGTTGCCGGGCAGTTCCATTGAAGTGTGCTACGGTGACACCATCGTGGCGGACGTCATCAATAGCATGCACGAGACGACGACCATACATTGGCATGGCATCCATCAGCGCTCCACACCGCACATGGACGGCGTGCCCCACGTCACTCAGTACCCCATAGAGGCGGGCCAGGCGTTTCGCTATCGCTTCGAGGTGGACCATGGCGGCACCAATTGGTGGCACAGTCACACCGAACACCAGCGCGCCTTTGGGCTTGCCGGTCCGTTGATTGTGCGGCTGCCGCCCAAGCTGAATCCCCATGCCCATCTCTATGACTTCGATCAGTCCGAGCATGTGATCATGATACAGGACTGGGTGCATAACTTCGACGAGAGCGTCGCCGAGAATATCCTCATCAATGGACGCGGGCGCAACATGAAGAAGAACAGCAAAGTGAAGCCCACGCTCTATGCTACGTTTGGAGTTATTCGTGGCGGTCGCTATCGATTCCGTGTCATTTTCAATGGTAGGTGGTTGAGTCGTAGCTGTAGTAGTAGTTATTTAAATATTAACTACTATCGCTTTGTAGGCGTATCCAATTGCCCAATTAGCCTGTCCATCGACAATCACGATTTGGTGGTGATTGCGAGCGATGGCAACGACATTGAGCCCGTTGAGGTGCAGAAGATTATGTTCCATGGGGCGGAACGTTTTGATTTTGTCCTGCACGCCAATCAGGAAATAGCGAATTATTGGATACGGGTCAAGGGCTATACCTTCTGTGCCATGAACCAGTTGCATCAGGAGGCGGTGCTGCACTACCAGAATGCCAATACACAAGCCCTGGACACCAGCACACTGAGCTATGCCTACGATGCGCCGGGCATCATGCTCAACGAGCTGGGCGACGATGCGGGCGGCAATAGTGCGCAGAGCATATCGCTGGTTACCCTAAATGCGCAGCATATGCAGCCACCGCTCAGTCCAGCGCTCACCTATTACACCAGCATGAATGCGTTTGAGCTGCGCGGCGAGGGCTTCCGCTTCCAGATGGACGACATCACCTTCACCATGCCGAAGATGTCGCTGCTGCAGACGCGCAACCTGGGCATTGGGCAGTTCTTCTGCAATAGCTCGCAGCAGGCGGCGCTTGGCTTCAATTGCAAGAGTCGCCATTGCAAGTGCTCCAACGTTATCCAAGTGCCGGCCAACAAGAATGTGGAGTTTGTCATTTCGAGCAAATCAAATACGGCACATCCCATTCATCTGCATGGCTACACATTCCGGGTGGTCGGGATGGGTGTGCTCGGTGAGCAGCGCATTGGCCAGATAGAAGAGATCGACCGGCGTACACCATTGCCACGTCGCGGCCGTGGCGCTCCGCTGAAGGATTCGGTGCAGGTGCCAGCCTTCGGCTATACCATCATCCACTTCAACACAGACAGTCCGGGCTATTGGATATTCCATTGTCACATTTCGCCGCACTCGGAGAACGGCATGGCAGCTGTTTTGCGCGTTGGCGAAGATGTCGAAATGAAAATGTGTCCCGTTAGCAATTGTGGACTCTGTAGCTCGGTGGCGTAATAAACTAAATATACCTTATGAATATTACATTTAAAATATCTATTTACCCGTCACAATAAACCGTTATGCCGTTGCTCATGTCGTTAACCAGTGCTGTACAGTTTTATCTCACATCTCACATCGTTCGGCACGTGCGTCTAGTTATCGACTATCGATAGACAAAGCATGTAAACAAACAGAGTTTGTAGAACAAATTTCGTACCGGCTTCCTAAGCATAAAATGTCTTACCTACGAAAAGGCAATAAAAACGCTGTTGAAACGGACTCAGAGGACGAGGACTATGCGAAGCTACGTTTGTTTGCGGAGGCTACTGATCACACACTGCTCAGAAATGATATGTATAAGAAGGAACTAACTGTAGAAAGTTCAGGTGAAGCGCCGGCAGTTGCGTCTCCACCAAAAGCTTTGCCCAAAAGCGAGCGCTACCTGGCAGATGAAGATGCAGCTCCCGCTAGTGATCTGCAAATCAGTAAGGAAATGCAAACACATCTGTGGGGCAAACTGAGTGCGATCATACAAAATCAAGTTGAATACTGTGAGAAGAGTGATCAGCCAGCCAACGGATCGGAGGAGGAGAAGGAGAATGGTTGGTTCAGTCAGGTTAAACTGCTGTCCAATGCCGATTGCTATGTTGTTGATGACATAGAGCCGAAACCTGGTCCACAGAAGAGGCCCACTATAAAGAGGCGCCTGCTGGAAGCCGACGAAGAGCAGGCGAAGACAGACGCCGCTCTTGCTGCCGTTGTCGTTGATGGCGACTCAATACTTAGCGGCCGGGATATGCAAAGCTGGGCGCCACGCAAGTCACGCAAAGATAAATTCCTTGAGTATAAAGCTACTGATGCACTGGGCCACAAGTTGCAGGCGATTGAGCCCACAAACGAGTTCACCAAACAGCGACGCAAAAACAACTGGAACGAGACAAAGATCGGACAAAGATGCCGCAATAAACAGAAAAAATCTTAGCTCTAATAAAATTGTTAATTATTGTTTAGTTTTTATTAAGAATACTAGATGTTCCTCCTGCTGCAATACTCCAATGAGTCATGATTGTGATTCTATATTTTAACATAAAATGGAACAATTTAGATAGAATAATAAATCTATATTCACAATTCATTTACATTTTAAAGTACAAAAAGCGATTAGTTATTTAAAATTGCTAAAAATTAAAAACTCGTCATACATGAGCTTTTATAACTCATGTATTTTATTGTTAATTTGTTAACATTTCATATTCCTGAGTTTCCTTTCCTTAACTTTTCACAACTCTCTTGTTTTTTATATGGAGATTATCTACTATTATTCCTCAGTTTAGAAAATCTAACTAGATATAAATATATATTTAATTATGTACGGTTATTAAGCTGTATTACAAGCTAGTTATTTCCATTTAAAAAGATTCTAACTAAATTCAATTACAAACATTTACATGCTGCCCTCTATATATATAGATATATATACCAAAATCGATTGGACATGTTATTTAAGTATTTTTCTATCTAAGAAAACATTAAGTGTAGAAATATATATATAGGGTATTTAAATTTCGGCACTTTGAGGCTAATTATAAAGGATGCTAGTGGAACTTTCATGCTGCAACCATGCTGTATGGCACTCTTCTGATCCTAAATGTTCCGAATTAAGCCAATAGCATCATGTAATTCAGTTTTAGGTATCAAAATTGTTTTGATAGTTCGTTGTGCTGGCCATCGTGTTGCTGTTGTTGCTCATTTGGCCTTCAAGCAGGCCGTATAAGGCGTTGCTGTTTAGCATCTGTTGTTGGCCGCTGCTCACGTTGCTCAGCGAGATGCTAGAGTTGGTGCTGCCGCCGAGCTCTTGCAGCATTTCGCCAACAATGTTACCCATGCTGTTGCTACCAGTCGCGCTGCTGCCCCCATCTTCGCCTGGCTGCATTTCGAGTATGTTAAGAAAATCGTGCCCATTGAAATCGTGTTGGTTGTGCTGCTGTTGTTGCTGCTTCTGCATGCTGCTCTGGCTCTCCTTCATCAGCTTGTCGTAATCATGCAGCACGCTGGTGAATTCGTTGATCTCAGCGCGATTGCGCGATATCACCTTATGTTTGTAGTAGTTGTGCACCTGGGTGAGCGAGGTGCCCGTCATGCTGAAGTAGGCCCGCTCGAGCGGCAGCAGCTGCAGATCCGTTGACTTCTCCAGTTTGTCATCGATGTCGTAGAAGTCGCGATACTCTGTGATAAAGCTGCGCATGAATTCCTCGGCTGCATCTGTCAGCAGTATAACCGCCGATTCAGAGCAGTCCGTGAAACCCGCCAGCCGGAGCAGGCCGCACATAACTTTACGCATCGTATGCCGGCAGGTGTTGGTGGAGATCTCTGGATATGGTTGTGGATCGCCTCGAGAGAATGCGGTATCCACAGTAGGTATGAACCAGATGGGTTTCTGGAACTTTTGCTCGCTGACTAAGTCAGCAGCGTTCTCTGGCGGAAAGTCCACTTCGGGTATCATTTGGCAGGGATTTAGCAGATAGTTGGAGGTTCCCTTAATACAGCAAACACCAAGATTAATATGTGCACATTCAAGTATCCAGATTGGCTTACGTTTTTGTTCGAGTAGGTGTCGATGAGGGATTGCAGCACTTCGGTTTGTTTCATAACCTCGATGGTTTGCGTGACCAGTGAGCTCTTCAGCTCAATTTGATCTCTATACAAAAATATCCATTATGCTGTGTTACTAGTCGGCGGGCTTCACTGTACTCACTGCTTATCCATGGTCATCAAATCCCCGCGCTGCCGTAGCTCATCCAGTTTGGGCTTTTTGGCCGTCGTGGGCACATATTTGTCTAACGCAAATGTCCCGCACTCCTCCTCAATGGCGCCCCACTGTTCTTTTTGCATACTGTTTACGCTCGCTTAGCTTTATGTTGCAGTTTATAAACAATTGCCGCTGTTCTGTCAAATGTCAGAATGGCCAGTTATCGATAATCAGAACAAATCAGCTGAGACAGCTTCGGCTACTGCGCGTACGTGGCAACGCCTGCTGTAGACGTTACAGTTGTCAGACATACAAATTTTATTAGCGATTGACAGTTGATTATATTTGTCAAATTTGCGTTTCTATGGAGGAATATGTGTCTTTGTGTAAGTTAAGGGCAACGATGATGATTAGATGATTGCAGTTAGTCGCTGGCGCCCCTGACAAATGGCAGCGCCCCTAGGYGGTCGGTCGGTGGCAAGTGGCAACGCCGCTTAAATGGCAAACAGGGACAATATGTAATATTGCCTCGTATTATTTGTTTTCTATTTAGACTATATATTACTTAGGTAAATTGTAAGTGGGCACAAGGAACAAACTGAAGACAAAATTCCACAGAGACGCAGACGTCGCCAAGGTTTATACGCGCCGGCACACAGCGCCAATATGCATCAGCAGCACATGGATCTCCATGCCCCAGTGGACCTTAACAAGGTAAGTGGAGCACGTCCAATAACTTATCATCTAGACTGAAGCTATGCCAATAAATGTGTAATTCTTACAGTCCCTGGATGAAATGACGCCGGAGGAGCGAATGCGGTAAGCCGACACACCTCCATTTACTGATAACTGGATATCTGATAGCGTGGTTCAAGGTACACTTAGCTAAACTTGAATTATTTGTGTGGTTTCTTTTCCTCATAGGGCCGAGCACCAGTTGATGGTTGAGAAACACAAGGGCCATGATGCCATGCACTCAGAAATGGTTATCATATTGTTTATGACGTTAGTCATTGCCCAAATCATATTGGTCGAATGGAAGAAGCGTCACTACAGATCCTATGCATTTGTCACACTGCTGGCCATGTGGCTAATCCCGCTAGTTATCTCGTGCACCTTCCTCTGGGTACGATTCATTGTCATCTGGCTGATATTCACGTGCATTACGGCGCTAGTCATGCGCCGGGCCACAACAAAACCCATACAGGGCACAACGCCCAGGTGAGCGAGAGAGTGAGAGAGAGATGGAGAATTTCATTGATTTTTGTATTAGCTGAAGCTCATATACATATATTCAATTTGTTTGCATTTACAGACTCGTTTATAAGTGGTTTTACTTTATCTACAAATTAAGCTATGGCCTCGGCATCATTGGCTATCTGGTCATAATGGCCGCCTTTTTTGGCATGAACTATATATTTTCACAGCCGCCCAATATCTGGATGGATGTGGGTCTCATGTTCTGTTTCTATGGCCTCTATATTGGCGTACTGGGTCGCGATATATCCGAGATATGTTCAGACAAAATGGCAGCAGCCATAGGTGTAAGTCGAGTCCGACTACTTATCTTAGATATGTATATTTATATCTGTTTCCATTTGTATTGCAGTACTACACGCCGCAGGGCATGCCCACACGACATCTGGACCACAATGTGTGCGCCGTGTGTGGCAATCAGTTGCTGGTCTCTGAAAAGGAAGAGGGCGTCATCGAGAACACCTACAAGCTGTCGTGCAATCATGTGTTCCATGAGTTCTGCATACGAGGCTGGTGCATTGTGGGCAAGAAGCAGACGTGTCCCTACTGCAAAGAGAAGGTCGATTTACAGAAAATGTTTCGCAATCCGTAGGTGGCACATAAGGTTTTCTATTTTATGATTTTACTTGTGATTTTCTGTCCATTGCAGTTGGGAGAAACCTCATGTACTCTATGGCAGGCTACTGGATTGGATTCGATGGCTGGTCGCATGGCAGCCGCTCATATTCTTCATAGTACAGGGCATCAATTGGATGCTGGGCCTTGAATAGGCGAACAAAACTAACTGTCCAATGGCGTCTAGTCCAGCACATTGATTGCCTAACACCCAATGTACTTTACACTAACCAAAACAACCAACCAACCAAGCACCAACAAGACCAACTATTCCAAAACTATATTAAAAAAAAAAAACAGAAAATATTCTAAAAATACTTCAAATGAGGCGTACAACTATATCCAATCAGTGGTTGGAGCAGTTCATCTATGGCTTCCTTCAACTCCTTTCAAGGCTTGGTTCGTTGCCCTACCAAATAGAGGTCTTTTGTTGCACATCCTCAGTTTCAATTTCAGTTAACGTCACGTTAGGGCCCACAGTTGAAACAGAGAGCGATGCATCTATCTACATATACATATATTTCCATTATTCATTATTTTAAGCTGTATAACGATTAACTGGTATTTTAGAGATAAATACATATATATGTATATATGTGTATATGGTTACATATGTAAATATATATGTATATGTATATGTATATATACTTGGGCAACATGCATATATATATACATATATAAATATATATGTTGTGTGTGGTGTGTATGTTTGTATTACGTCTACGTATTATGCGTTTTTTGCACTGGATATTGAATTTAATGATTTATATTAAAGTAATGGAAACATTGAGTGGATTCTAAGAAAAATAATTTACTTTGCCTTTAGATTTGGGCTAAACGAACGAAATATTGAGAGACGTACAACAACCCCATAAAACAGGTTTTTATTGATTTTATGCGGAGACTTAAAGTCAGAAAAGGAATTGAAGAACCCCTGTATGCATTATAAGCTCTTTTTAGTACTTTTTTAGTACTATCACTAAACATATACCCTGTTAAAAGAAGGAAGAGATTACTCGAGTTTCTTCAAATCTGATGGCTTTATAGAGGACGGAGGCTTAGTTATACCTGTAAAGAAGTTATTTCTAGATTTTTCCTATGTTTTAATGTGCAAAACCTTAAGCTTTGCGAAAGATCTAAGATATATAGGGAAGACATGTTTATAAAGGTTTCTTTAGGGTATTTTAATTGACAATACCCTGTGAAATGGAATATTTTCTTCTCTTACAAATTATTTAGCTTTGTTTAAACCTGAAGTTTCATACATTTTGTTGACATATACCCTGTAAAATGTTCTTTTTACTTTTAAAATCCTTGAGCTTTCCAAAAATAATATGAATATAATAAAATAATTCTCTTTAGCTTCCATAGCATACGTAGGTTTTCGTTAGGCCTATACCCTGTAAAGCCATGAATATACATTTATAGAAGTGATATATAGTATATCTATAACAGGTTCTAGTAGACTCAAAAGACACTTAAGATCTTTTGGTCCCTGTCACGAAACCCTTTGGTTTTTGTAAACCTTGTTTATTCCCAACTTGGTTACGCCCCGTCCCGCCCGCAAAGGCCAATGCCGCCTCCTGAAGCGAAGTTTAATCAATAAATTATGCGCTAGTATGGAATATGTAGTCGGACAGCAATGGAAAATTGCACGCTCGAGCCAATTATGCGAATCATTTTGCATGAAATGGCAAAGAAAGGCGGAGTTCAGCAGCTGCAGGCGGACATCAGCAGCGATGAGGAGTTTGAAAAGTTTTTGCAGCGACCCGGATTGCTGGGTAATATGGAAGAGTAGACAAAGAAGAAGTTGCCCAAACAGAAAACCAACATAAGTATTCTCGATTTCTAGTGCTCGATATATATTCGGAGTGGTGTGGTCCATGCTTGGGCATGGTGGGAAGTCTGCGTAAGATCAAACTGGAGCTGGGCGGCGATAATTTGCAGCTGGCTATTGTAAGTCCCATATTTGGAGGTTATGCTCGAAAATAATATACAAATCTCTATGAAAATAGTGCAAAGCGGGCTCAATCTCATATCTGCAGCGGTTTAACAAGAAAAGCGAACCCACCTGGATGTTTGTTGCCGTAAGTAGGACAGTGAAGATAATAATTCGGTCTTTCAAATGAGTGACGGACCCCGACTTGGGCACCATCTCAACATGCTCTCACCTTTCCCTTGTGCTCAATTAGAATGGAAAGGCGATTAACATCATGTTCGGCACCGATGTACCCAAGCTGGTGTCCATGATCACACGTGAGCTGGAGGCGGTCATCGCTCGAGAGCCCCATCAGACCTACGAAATAACCGAGCTGCAGCCGATTGAGCTCGAACAGTTGCGCATTCGTAACGAGGCGCTCGAGCAAGCGGCCAAGATCGAAGAGGAGGAGTGCCGAAGGAAGCGCATCGAGTACTTGAGATATGTAACCGATACGATTATGGAGAATTTGCCAGATATTGGGATAACGGTATTTGGTCCACAAGTGAATCGCGATATGTTCAAGAAGCTCTCTGAGCCGGCAGATCCACTGAAGATCCAATGCAAAGATCGCAAAGTCTTTACAATCACCCAAAGTGATTTCAACACCGTCAACTTTGCGGCCGAGAATCCATTGTCGCAGGAAGTGATCCAACACTTGTACGACAAGGAGCTGCTGATGTGCTTCTGGAAGGTGGAGGAAAATCTTGGCACGCCACCCAGTGTACTGCAGCAGTATGCCAACGAGCTGACCAAGAACATCATCAAGCCACCCGATGAATTCAACGAGGAGGAGACCGTTCTACCTCCCCTGATAACAGATCTCGAAATAACGGTACAGGTCAAAGTTGAAGGTAACTGAATAGAAAATCGATTTGGATATTTATCAATTGTGATTTTCCCATATTGAACGGGCTTTACGTTTCCAGTGGAAGCGTGCCCAGAAGATAACCCGGAGGAGCAGGATTCAGAGGATGCTATTCAATTCAAGACCATCAAAATCCCACCGATCTGGGTGCCCTGTGACCAGAGGACGCATGCAGCCCTCATCTATACCTATTTCCGGGCACAGACCGCAACATTTTTACCCCCCGACCCAGTGCCAGAACCTCCGCACATTATCATGACCTACGATGCGTACAAGAAGAAGGACTTGATCAATCTGGTCGAAGCCTGTAAAGAGGATGTGCCACTCTATGGCTTCTTCTCCAGCGATAATCCAGAGACGGCCGTTTTCATTGCCAACTCCGTGGAGAAGTACAATGCGAAGCCCTATGTGCCGTAGGTGGAGAGGCTCTACAAATATTCTACATCAATATCTAAAGATTTCTTCCTTTTCTGATTTGGTTCCAGCACCGATAAAATTGTGCTGAAAGTGAACAAGGTGCCGGGTCCAACAATTCCGTTGCTCATGGAATATGGGCCTAGCTATGTCAGTCCCAATTCCGTGGTGGGCCACAAGGAGGCAGCCAAATTCTTTCCGCCCACCTACAAATCCGCACAGCAGGAGGAGGCCGAGCTGCATGCGGTCAAGGCCGAGAAGCCTAAGAAGCGCAAGAAGGTGATGCACTACTTCAATACATATAACTCTATATATAACTACTTTACATCTACCCTTGCAGAACAAAAAGGGTGGTGATGTCGAGGAGTCCGAGCAGGCCAGCGCCAATGCCCAGGACAATCAGCAGGAGGCCGATGAGGCGGCCAAAGTCTCGCCCGAGGAGGGCGCCTCCACCACTAGCAGCGGCGAGGACAGCTGCGAGAGTCGTCCAGCGACTGCCGATGGCAATAATCTGTTGGCCGATGCACCTCCATCATAGTGTTGGTTAACTGAAGTTTTGGAGACCTCTTTCTCTATCTCGCTCCCTCTCTTTCTCTCTCGCTTTCTCCTTACGTATACTACATGGCATGCGATGCTTAATCTATAAACTTACTTACCTTTTGGCACTTTTTCTGCTAAATTGCAATTTTAATTATATAAATTATAAATTTGACTTAAGTCTAGTGCTTATAAACGCATTTATAATATACCCAATCTGTGAAAGTCTGCGTCATAACCTCAAAATATTTATTTTAACTGACAACTCAATAAATTCAATTAATTATAGTTCACAATGGTGAACGGAAAAGTCTGTAGACCTTATAAGGCCAGTGTAAACTTTCTGCTTCGAATTAAAAATTTTTAAGAATA